TGAAAACCAAAGATAAAGACAAAATCTTGAAAGCACCAAGTGAAAGAAACACACATACATGCAGAAAAATAAAGGAAAAAATTATAGCAGATTTTCTCATATGAAAATTATGCAAGCCATAAGATGGTGAAATGGCAATCTTGAAGTGCTGAAAGAAAATGATTGTTAACCAAAAATCCATACCTAGCTAAAATATTTTTCAAATAATTGAGAAAATTTTTTCAGACAAACAAAAGCTGACATAATTCATTAGCAGCATATACACAATATAAGAAATGTTAAAATGAAGAATGTTTCAAATTGAATAAATGAAGGTAATAAATAAAAATACCTAAAATATTTTCAAATATAAATGTCAAATATTTTTCAAAGAAAAGTTGAGATAATTCATTCATGGCATATATACACAAAGTTAAAGAGTGTTTCATATGGCATAAATGAGGTAAATATAATCTTTTCTCTTTTAAAATTTTGTGTGGTTTTGAGGAGGGTTTTTTAAAAATTATTTTTAGAGATGGGGTCTCACTCTCATACCTAGGCTGGAGTGTAGTGGCACAATCACAGTTCACTGCAGCCTTGAACTCCTGGGCTCAAGCAATCCTGCCACCTCAGCCTTTTTTTTTTTTTTTGGTCTTATTTTAAACATTCTAAGAGATAACCAATAGTCTAGAGCAAAGCAGTATCAGTGTATTATATGTTTATTGCATGTATAAAAGTAAAATATGTGACATCAATAAAACAAAGAATAAGCAGGAATAATTGAGAGTATACTGTTGCAACACTATCAAACTATATATGAAATAGTACAGTATTATTTCAAGATAGACTGAAGTTAATTAAAGATACATGCATTAGGGATCCTTGGATGACCATTAAGCTTTTTTTAACATGAGACTAGAGTGAATATATAATGAAATCACAAAAATACTCAATACAAAGAAAGCAGAAAAAATTAGGATGAAGAAAACAAAGAACAGATGGAATAAACAGAAATGAATCTAGAAAGAAGATATATTTTAATTCAGCAATATCAATAATTATATTAAATACAGTTAAAATACATCAATTAAAAGTGGAAGCTTGTCAGATTGAATTATAAAGTATGAATCAATTATATGCTATGTAATAAAAACGCACTATATAAAATAGGTTTAAAGTTAAAGAATGGAAAAGAATATATCATGTCAACACTAATCAAAAGAAAATTGGAGTATCTGTATTAATATCAAAGTACAGTTCAGGACAAGAAATATTACCAGAGGTAAAAATGGTATATTATATAATGACAAAGAGGTCAATTCACCAAGAAGATATATATTTCTAATATGTGTATGTACTTAACAAGAGAGCTTGAAACTATGTAAAGCAAAAACTGATAGAAATTTTTAAAATTGCCAAATCCACAATCAGAATTAGAGACTTCAATAGGCCTCTCCTCCCTTAGTGATCAACAGAACAAAATCAGTAGGAAAAAAAAAATTGAGAGAACAAAATCAATAGCAAAAAAAAAATAGAGAGACAAGGTAAGCATTAGAAAATCTTCAAAGCAGCCTCAAACAACTCACAATTTATAGAATACTCTCTCTCCAATAACAGAATATACAACCTTTTCAAGTGCACGTGAATTTTAGGACAGGGTAATAAAACAAATCTTAATTTTTAAAAACTAAAATAATAGAAAGTATGTGTCCAAGCCATAATATAATGAAACTAGAACTCAACAACAGGAAAAGATATCAAATATTCCCAATATTTGGAACTTAACCAACACACTTTTAAACAATCAATGCAGTGAAGTAACAAGGGAAATTAGAAAACATTTTTAATCAAATGAAAATAAAACAAAAGATATTAATATTAGATGCAGCTAAAGCACTGCTGAGAGGGAAGTTTATACATCATAAAAGGAAAGAAGAAAGAACAAATTATTTCCAAAGCAAGAAAAACAAATAACAGAAATCAATGAAATTAAGAACAGAAAAACAACAGAGAAAAATTAATGAAACAAAAAATGAGGTATTTGGAAAAAAACACAAATAGATAGGTAGGTGGATAGACAGATAGATAATCCTCTAGCCAGACAGATCAACAACAAAAAAAGACACTAAATAACAATATCAGGAAATAAAGGGAGAAATTACTGTAAATCCTAACAACATTTAAAAAGTAGTAATTATTATGTCCATAAATTCAACAACATAGATGAAATGAAAAAAATTCTTGAAAAACCCAAAGTGTCAAAAAATCACTTAAGAAAAAAACAAATAACTAGGTTACTCTTATATCTATTAAATAAATTGAAGTTTTGTTTCGAAATCTTCCCACAAAGAACAATCCCAGGATCAGAAGACTTCGCTGAGAAAGTCTAACCAACATCAAAAAATAATGATAATAATTGTATATAAATTTCTTAAAAACCTATAGAAAAGCAGAAACACTTCACAACTCATTTTATGAAGTCAACATTACCCAGAACCAAAGACATTCCAAGGGAAACAACAGACCAATATCCCTAATAAAAACAAATGGAGAAAAATCTTCAGCAAAAGACTAACAAATCAAACCCAGTAATACATTAAAAGAATACCATAACATGACCAAGTGGATTTTATACAAGCTATGCAAAATTGGTTCAACTTTCAAAACATTGTGTAATTTCAACATACTAAACAAGAAAAGTCATACGATCATCTCAATAGATGTAAAACAGCATTTGACAGAATTTAACATCCTTTTTTGTTAAAAACTCCCAAGAAGTTAGAATACAAGGGAACTTCTTCACCATAATAAAGAGCATCTACAGAAGCCTGCATCTAACTGCTAAGTAATAGTGAAAGGCTGAAAGCATTTACACTGTTTAAAATTGGGCAAGGATATTCACTCTCACTAGTCTTTTTTAACATGATAGTAGAAGTCCTATCCAGTGTAATCAGTCAGGAAAAAGAAATAATAGACATTTGATATTGGATATAAGTAAAACTACAGACAACTGAAATATTCCTCAGCTGATCAATCAACAAAATGGTGCATTCATTCAATGGAATATGATTCAGCAATTAAAAAGGGAAAACTACTGAAACACACAACAACATGGATGAATCTCAAATGCGTTATGATAGGTGAAAGAAGTTGGACTCAAAAGACAACAAACAGTGTAATTCCATTTACATGACATTCTGAAACAGATAAAACAACAGAAACTAAAAATGTATTCACATGTGCCTGGGGCTGGAGTAGGGAAAGGATTGACTAAAAAGGAATGTAGGAGAATTATCTGACATAACAAAACCATTTTATGCTTTGATTGTGGTGGTTACAAGACTGTGTTTATTGTCAAAAAGCACAGAACTATACACTAAGGATGAATTTTGTTACAGTAAATTATACCTTTAAAAAGGAAAAAAGAGACTATGTGTACGTATAAATTTTAGAATGAGATTGCTTCTTCCTATAATAAATGTGGATATTGGGTAGGTTCTCAAACTCTCTCACCATCAATTTTCTCAACTGTAAAGTGAGAATAATATTATCTACCTCTTAACGTTGTTAGCTCTTCTTGTTGCTGTTCCATCTCCTACCCAACACTGTGCTCATTGTTAAAAAAACAGAGATGATCTATGGCATGGTCCCTGCCTTCCTGAAGGCTCCAATCTAGTGCATAAGCATTTCTTGAAGAGTCAAATAAACACAATTGTTTTACTGCCATTAGATTTTATAATTACAAAAATTAGCAAAATCAGTGGTAAGCCAAATTCACATTAATTTCAAATATAGTTCAACCTTTTCAAGAATTTTCTAAAACAGAAATCAAAATTTCAATTCAAATCTAAGAAATTCTACTGCTGGCCCAGATATTTCTAGAATATCTCTACAGACAATTTTAAAAGACTCCAAATTGCAATTATCCATAGTTTATCAGGTTCAGAAAGAATATCAGCTTACCTTATTTTTACCAATTTATTCTAGCATTTCAATGTTACCTTAATTTGAATAAGAATATCAAGAAAGCATTATAAGAATGTGAAATTGCTTCCCGGTATGCCAAGATTTCATATATCTGGATAAAACTTCTCCCTAAAAAGACAAAGCTAATAGGAATCCCGGAAAATGAATGAACTATGAGGTACTCAGAAAAGTCTGCTCTCTCCAACAAGAAGGACATTAATAACCTTGTATCACATAAATGATTCACCAATCTGTGTGACTTATGTGTGCATTACAACTACACATCACGCACCCATACCCAACTCCCTTCTGTCCGTATCATTTAACTCTGTCCCTTATCCAGGTGGAATGTCCTTACTTCAAGGTTGGAGTATTAGAGGCATGAGAAATTCATGCTGGGACACACTACCGCTACTGTAGAGTCAATTACATTTTTTAACATATTCATTATACATTTATTGAAGACCCAACATGTGCTCAGTTCTCGCAGCATAAATCTTTATAGGCAGTTTTTATTAAATGTGTCCTTACCATTCAGAGCTAAAAGAAAATCAAGCTATTCTTATTTCAAAGATTTCCTATCCACTGTCATCTCACATCACGGCTCAGTGAAACACTGTGAGAAGTGTTCTTGGAGTGTTATCAACTAAAAATTCTGCAATAAGTATGGCTTTTTGCACAGGATTTCACACTGAATAATATAGTAACATCTAGAAATTCCTAACCTAGAAGAAAAAAAGAACATTTTACAAGATATTTTTAAAAGCATGACATGTGCACAAGGGGCTTCTCAAACAGAATCCACAGACTCGTTTTCACCATTTCACTTGCTCAGAACTATTGTTTTGAAATATGGAACTCCCAAACATGGATCTTCCAAAGTTTTATATATTGCAAATATTCCTAAGGATTATATCTCTTAACCAGAAGCCAGTATGTGGGAAGGTATAAGAGAGAAAAAAAATAAAATCCATGTAACTAAAAACAAGTCAAAATAAAATAAGTAGAAATGCTCTTTGGGGGAACCCAGAGAAAATGATGACTGGCTAGCTTACCTTGCTTTTTTCCATTAACAGTTTCTAATGTACCAGGGAGCTGGCTGTCAAAGCCATGTTGAAGGCCACTTCTTTGCTTTTCAAGGTGATGCTCTTCCTCAGCAATAGAAGAAAGCACGTGTGGTGACTTGTGGTCATCACTGGCCTGATTGGGCCACTGGGACATTGTGCAACATGAGTCCTTTGCATGTTGGCTAAGCCTGGGGCTTGAACCTTGGGCAGAGTCCTGCAAATCACTATTACAACATGAGAAATGATCCACTTCCAGAAACAAGGAAGTTGCATCCTCTTGACTCCAATCATTTTCTCGTTCTTCATCTTCAAAGTACGTTTCCTGAATCTGAATATCATTTAAGTCCTGATCTAGCTTGTCACTCAATTTAGAGTCTTGTTTGCTTATGTTAACCAGCGAAGCAGATAACATATCTCCTGCTTGCTGGAGAGCTTCATAAACCCGAGATATCCAGGAAGAGAAAGGCTGGAAGAAGTTCTGAGCATCCTGAGATGCCATGGCCAACACCATGGCCAGCTAACTGATGTCTACAGTGTCCACTTGTTCAGTTCCTCCAGTGCTCTGGATTGAATGTGAACTATAGAATAAGTATGTTGAGAAATTAAATTGGAGGTCTCTTAATGGCTGTGAATATTTCACTCTCAAAACTTCCAGCTGAAACAGAGGAAAGAAATACTTACACCTGTTAAAGTTACAACCTCAGACCCATCACCAGATACCTGCAGACAATGTCAAACAGCATTTGGTCACAAAAAGAGATTATCATGGAAATCTTAGAATAGTTAAATAAAAATGACTATGAAAGTCTAGATGTAGATTATTTCAATGCCTATTCACCTCCATGGCCACGTGGAAAACTTCCATTAGCGGTAATGGGTTATGTTTATGTGGACTGAGATAATTCTATCCCCCACAGATCACCCTTAACAGTGTGAAAAGGATAAATGAATCTTCATTAAGATCCCATTGGGCATGACATTTCAACATACAAAAAAGATCGGATGTTTCATCTACGAATCTGCAGATCCCAGAGAGCTGACTAATAAGCATCTCTCCTTTATGACACTAAAGTTTATACTTTCAAAAGAAATGTGTGTCTGGAATTAAAAAGCTTTAAACAAATCTTAAAATAGGATTTTATATTTTTATGCGATCTCTAGAAGTCATATCTATTCTTGGGGAGCAATCGCTGAAAAACTGAAGGTGGCAAATGGATTATCTAGCTTACTGGAGACATGTCCCTGGAATCTCATTGCTTTTGTCTATGTTCCAACCTCCTGAGGATAGATTGCTCTCTACAACCTTTGAGACTCCTGTGACACACTTCATCCCACAAGATTTGCAGACTGAAGGAAGCAGCTCCAGAACATTAACAGAACCACAGAACACTATGAAAACCCTAGAGCTAAATATTCACACTTTTACATGTGTACATGCATACAAGGTACACATATGCATATGTGCGTATATTAGATGTGTTTATATCTTATTGCTATTACAGTGCTCATCAACAGCTCAAGATGAATGTCACAAATGACTAGAGGGCCTAAGCTCACTGCTTAAACTTAATTACCCAATATTTTGCATAGCAGTAACTTCCTCTGACTAAATCTACTAGCTATCCCTTAGGTTTTAAGTCTCTTGACCTCAGCCACTGCATGTGTTATGACTACTTACCTTCTAAAAATTTCTTATTAGCCATTCATGGATGCATTGACTTATGCAATAAACAAATACTGATTGTCTGTTACATGCTGGGCACAATGTCAGTGATAAGGTAATCCTGAGGGCTTTGTCTCCATAGAGCCCACCTTTCAGTTCAAGGGAAACTGAGCTTTCTGCATTTTCTCCATATGCTGAATAATTCGTGTGTCCCTCTTTCAGGCTCCTCCTTGTCTTCCCACCACCTACATGTATACAACCAAATCTTGTCCTATGGCTTCCCTTCCTTATTATATTCACCAGCTGGGAGAGTAGGCCCATCCCTACATTTCAATTAATACCTTTTTGAAACTCCAAAATATACATCTCTAGTCTTTGCTCAATTTTTCTTTCCAGACTTTTATCTGTGGCTGTCTAAGCTAGTGATTCTCAAATACTGGTGTGTCAGAACCACCCACTGAGCTAATAAAGAATACGAAGGCCCAGGCTAGTTGGAGGAAAAGGGCCTGGTCTGAACCTTGGGATTTTTGACAAGTACTCCAAGTGAGTCTGACACCCACGAAAGTTTGAGAAATACTGATAGACTCGGATGTCTCACTAAAATCTCAAATTCAGTTCATTCAAACCTAGCGGATCACTTTGCTGCAAGCATTCATCACTCTAGACTCATAACACGGGTGATTTTGAATTTCTCTCATCAACACTCCCTTCTTCCATTCCAAATTCGGTTAGCTTTTGGTCTCCAAAGACTGTCTTTCAACATGTTTTGTACAGTTACCACATTTCCCACACTCTAGTTCCCTCAGATACTACATACCTAGTTCATTTCACACTCTATTCTTTCCCAGACTCAATTTATTCTCCGTTTGCTCTCCATAACCTGATTTTATATAAGGTTTATGCCTGTCTCCTCCTCTAGAATGGAGGCTCCATGGATGGCAGGCATTGTCTTTTTTGTTCTTTATTTTATCCCCAGTCCCTAGAAATGTGCTGAGCACATAGTAAATTCTTGACAACAAATTTCACTAAAAATCATGCATAAAACACCACCTAACACATAGTATGTACTCAGTAACTTTGCTAATGGATAAATCCTATCCAGAAGTGCTAAAAAGATGTTAAATGATGTTACCATGTGAGTTCCCTGCAGAGTAACAACAGTAAGCATCCTTTTGCCATTTGTTCCATCCCATTTCACTACCCAAAGGTTTTTGAGGTTTTTTTCTCTCAAAGTATTTTGTATAAATTACTAAACTACAGTGCATCACAGATTTACAAGTTTCCCTCTGAGATTTCAGTGGCTTTAGCACCCACTACTCTCTTTTTGGTAAATGAAAATTTTTAAGCCAGAAACGACACGTTTTCCTTAATCATTCTTTCCATCATTCTATTATACACAGAAAACTTTGTTGTTGTTGTTATATTGAATTTTTTTATTATTATTTAAGTTCTGGGATACATGTGCAGAACATACAAGTTTGTTACGTAGGTATACATGTGCCATGGTGGTTTGCTGTACCTATCAACTCATCATCTAGGTTTTAAGCCTCACATGCAATAGGTATTTGTCCTAATGCTCTCCCTCCCCTTGCCCCCAACCCCCTGACAGGCCCTGGTGTGTGATGTTCCCCTCCCCGTGTCCATGGGTTCTCATTGTTCAACTCCCACTTTTGAGTGAGAACATGTAGTGTTTGGTAGAAGACTTTGTTTTCATATGCAACCCAACATCTCTGAATTTGGGCCAGCAACTTCTTGTTCAAATCTTCAAATCAGTACAGCCCATATTCTCTGCCTCATATCCCCTTGATCTCTATAATTATATTCATCAAAACAAAAATGAAAAAATTCATTTTTTACCAAAATTGCCATTTTGATGAGCTGGCAATTTTTATAAAAAATGAATTTTGATCACTCTCCTAGTTTTAAAGAAAAAAAGCCATTATGGTTACCTATTACTTAAACTGCAAAGTTGGAGCACCGGAGCTGTCAAAATCACTACTTATTCATGTTTGCTGATACAGTGTTTTTTCAAAATTACTTTGAATCCTTCCAACTTAATATAATCTTCACCTTTCCCTGTTGTTTACAATCCACTTGCTTCACTCATTTCTATGTGGCCAGCTTGACTCCTGGATGCATTTGAATTTCCAAGCCCTACCCTATCAGATAAAGTTCAAATTCTTTACAGTGGCATACAAGAAGAGAAATACTCAAAAAAAAAAAAATTAACAATCAGCACCATCCAACTGGGCTTAGTGCTGGGGGGATCCTAAAGGCCTCCTCCAAAATGTAAATGCTTTAATTCCTGAATCGCTGGGCCTGAGGTGGTCTAGAGGTGCAATAGGACACTGAAAGGGGCTTCAGATCGGTGGCGACTTATCAACCAGCTTGGAACTAATTTCGGGACAACAGCAACTCACAGAGGACCTTTTGTCCTCACTGAATACCCAGCTATGTCTGAGCTATCCCCAGTAATGCTGCCACACTATGAGAACTCAACCTTTCCTTATCACTCCTCACTGTAAAGTCCTATGTGCCAGTCTCACTGACATACTAAGCATTTTCCAAAGTGACTGTGCTCTTTCCTGACTTCTGTTTGTTTTGCCCAGGATGACTTTTCTCCCTAAACTACCTGATACTCATTTTTTATGAGGAAATGTTTATTGCTTCCTCTGGCAACTCTTCATCTACAATCAAAGGTGTGGCCTCAGAATGCTTCAAATGTGCCTTTATGATACAGTGTTTCCCTTGGTATGATGAATATTTGTCAGTCTTCCTCTTCCAGTGGACTGGGAGCCCACAAGTGCTGGGGCTATGGTTATACATTATAGCTGCAGAATCCACACAGGGCAGGGGCTCTGCATATTCCATGAATGAATGAATGAATGAATGAAGTTACCAGTGAAAACATTTGAAGCTAAGTAAACCTGATTCCTTTCTATTTCTTCATCTCTAAAGTGGCATTAATGCACTGGATGACGTCTAACACTTCCTTTCTGCTCTGAAATCCAGGAATTTGCCATTGTGTTGCCACAAAGCATTGTAATGTTGAGGCCGATACAACCAGAAGCAAGATGGCTTTTCATGAAATAGTTCTGTACTTTTTTGTCAACAACTATTGTTAGATGATCCCAGAATAATTGGAAAGAAGTCAAATCTCAGTCTCTATATAAAGAGTGCCCAGTTGTTATACTCTAAAATACTCAAAAAGGAATGAAACTTACAGATAGAATCTGAAAAATTACCTAGTTAGCAACACCAGAGACCTTTCATTTTACACTAAATTAGCCTAAAGCCATAGGGGCTCAGCAATGGCAGAGTAACCACGGAGATATCTTGGTGGCTTAGGTAAATTTAAACTTGATTGGTAGAGCACACCAAGGATAATAATGCCAGATATAGACTGTATCCTACTTCTCTGGTGGCTTTCTTACAGCTAACAAGAAGACAAAGTGGTTTCTGGTATTTTAGAAAATACACACACACACACACACACACACACACACACACACACACACACACAAAATAGTCAAAAAGTCTAGTTACCTGGGTTAGAAGGAAAAATACATTTAAGGTCTTGTAATATCTGAGAAAAGCCATTTTTTTTGGAAACAATCATGGAAATGGTTCATGATTTCTCATTATTATGAAAGTGTAAAATGAGACAACAAAAAAGATTGTGGTGTGTGTATGTGTATGTGTTTAACACATAAACTTCTATCACAAACATGAGCTGGGAAGATTTACAACATCTTTGAAGTACTCATAATAAACTGGCAATCTAAGAAATAACCAGTAGCAATTGATAAAATAAAGCCATAAATATATTCTTAAAGACTACTTTTAAAAATTTTTGGTTTAATCAGAATTATATTTTAATTAAGATCACTTTATACATAGGAAATGGCTAAGCAGTAAATATTAAAGAGTTGTGTTTCTATAGAAAGAAAAACTATCCAATTCCTGAGCCACATGTTTTATTAAATATTTTCATTGTTCTCACAGAAGCTAATTGTGAAGACAGAAGTATTTCATACCAGATTAA